TAAAGAGGCACTAATCCTTCACATGACCTTAATACTACCAAAGCATTTGTCTTTTCTTTAACAACATTAAGAGGTTGTCAGGCTAGGCTGGCCCAGCCTCACTCTTTTTCTAGTTTCCCACCTACCTGACAATTTTTTTAAAAAAGGAGAATGTTCTCAGGATTTGTTTTCTATGCAGTCAACTAGGAAACAAATGGTAGCAATTGGGTCTTTGACCTGAAAAACAGCAACGACACCTTGATGGATTAATTCAATTACAGCTTTTAATTCTTTTGTGTACATTTTGGGGACAAGGGACTTGGAACACATGCCCCATCTCCACTTAATCAGGTCTGATCCAGTTAAACTTGACTCATTAATTGCTGTAAAGAAACAAGGTTTTATGTGATGAATATTCTCTAAACAGAACACATCTTACACACAAAACACATATAGCTTCTTCTTAAATGTTTTTCTGACTTCCTAGTCTAGTGCCTACTTCTTCCCTGGTTTCTGATCCATGTATTAATGAGGTCTGACCTTTTTTGAACCCTGTCAATCAGTCCCAATTAATGAACACCTCTCAATTTCAGTGATGGTGACCTGATTCACCCACATCAGGGGTCTTCAAACTTGGCCCTTTTATGACTTGTGGACTTCAACTCCCAGAATTCCTCAGCCACCAAGTTTGAAGACCCCCTTGACCTACATTATTGGGTGCTAAGGGGGGAGTGGTTCATTCATGGCTGATTTAATCAATCTCTATTCTATTAGGTGGGTTCACACAACTTGCTAAATCCTCAACTTCAGTCTGACCAACCATAATAGTGAGATTTGAAGACTAATAACCCCAAATTAAATAAAACATGTTTAAAAGGTGAACCTTTTAGAGACTGAGTGCCCAAACTGCAACCCAAAACCCACATGCATTGTTGGGTGCTGGGTGGGTGTGGCCCATTGGCTGGGTGTGGCCCATTGGGTGGGCGTGGCTGCGGTGGTAACGGCAGACTGGGTGGGACTAAAAAGTTCAATCAATTCCAACTCTGCAAGATCTTTTTTTTCCCCGCGAGAAGTTGAAATTGACTGATTGATTGAACCTTTCTTTTTTTGTACACGGCGGTGGAAGCCTAAAGCGAAAAGGTTTTATAAAACCCAGCTGAAGGCCTAGGACTGGGGCGACGGCACGCGTGCCCATGGACAGGGCTTTGCATGGCCCGATTCCAAACAGGGGGTTTGTGATCCTTCACTAAGATGATTTCCTGAATAACCTGAATAAGTTACGGCGAATTGTCAGGTGCGGAATTTGAGGTATGGTTATGTTCTTTGTTCAGAAGAACATCCTAGCAAGTTGGGTGGGAGTCCTCATGAGTTAAAAGACTCTTTTGCTAAATGGGGTGTGTGAGAGCTTGGACCTTACCTGTATCCCACAATATATTGGAGGTGCGTTCAGATGACAGCACTTGGTAACGTAACCAATCCTTTGTTCAAGCAGAGAAGACACCTGATCCTCCGTCTCCAAAGTACCAGCGGGAAGCAGGGCTAATACATTTGCTTTTAGCCTGCAGTTTGACACAGGAACGTGTTAGCCACCCTTTTTAAGGTGAGGAAACACAGCCACCCCAGAAAAGATCTGATTTAGACTACAGGTAGTCCTCAACTTAAAACCACAGCTCAGCCCAAACTTTCTGTTGCTAAGCGAGGCTGTTGTTAAGTGAGTTTTGCCCCAGTTATGAAGTGAATTATTGCAGTTGGTACGTTAGTGACGGGGTTGTTGAGCGAATCTGCCTTCCCCATTGATATTGCTTGTCAGTAGGTTGCAAAAGGGGAATCACAGGACCTCAGGACCAGCAGCGGGATTCAGCTGGTTCACACCGGTTCAGTAGAACCGGTAGTTAAATTTTGCTGCATTTGGAGAACTGGCTGGCTTCCAGAAGTCCGTTCTAGGCCTTGGAGGCCTGGAGGAGGCCTCCTAGGCCTAGAACAGCCCGCCGGAAGTGCGTGGATGCCACTTCTGGAAGTCCATTCTAGGCCTTGGAGGCCTGGAGGAGATCTCACAGGCCTAGAACAGCCCACCGGAAGTGCGTGGATGCCACTTCTGGAAGTCCGTTCTAGGCCTCGGAGGCCTGGAGGGGCTGTCCCAGGCCTAGAACGGCCCACTGGAACTGCATGGATGCCACTTCCGGAAGTCCGTCTAGGCCTGGGAGGCCTGGAGGAGGCCTCCCAGGTCTACAACAGCCCGCCGGAAGTGTGTGGATGCCACTTCCGGAAGTCTGTTCTAGGCCTCGGAGGCCTAGAGGGTGTGTCCCAGGCCTAGAACGGCCCACTGGAACTGCATGGATGCCACTTCTGGAAGTCTGTTCTAGGCCTCGGAGGCCTAGGCCTGCATCAAATAAGAGAACCGATTGTTCAGGTATTTGAATTCCACCACTGCTCAGGACACTGCGACCGTCATAAATGTGAGGCAGTTGCCAAGTGTCCACATTTCGATTATGTGGCCACAGGCAGTGGTGGGATTCAAATAGGTGAACAACCGGTTCTCTGTGCGGATGCCGCTTCCGGAAGTCCGTTCTGGGCCTGGACAACAAAAAATCAGCTACCGGTTCTGCCAAAATGGTGAGAACTGGCTGAATCCCACCATTGGCCACGGGGATCCTGCAATGCTCGTAGGTGTGAAAAACGGTCAACTGTCACTTTTATTCAGTGCCATTGCAGCTTCAAGTGGGCACTAAATGGACTGTTGTAAGTCGAGGACTGCCTGTAATCTGTATATCCAAGCCAGTTATGTCTACATGCACATCAACGTTATAGCTACACAATATTTTTTTGAGGGAGGATTTGAAATGTTCAGTCTCTGAGGGCTACCACCTATATCAGGGGTGTCAAACTCAATTTCATTGAGGGCCGCATTAGCATTGCCCTTGGGGGGCCAGGTCTTTGCACCATGACTTTAATTTTATTTCGTTTTACAAGCTCCCTCAATGAAAGAACACCAAAAAACCCAACCAACTTGATAGCCATCACATAACACACTGACAAATGTCCTCCTCTCAGCTTCAATACAGGACATCAATAACTGGATCCTACTGTGATCTGATTGGCTCATGGTCAAAACAAGATGACACCCGATTGGCTCTCTAAACACTCATGCTCATTGGCTACAATCAGAGGAAGGAAAGCTACCTGAGATCCACCTAAGCAAGTTGTGCTTCCTTTTTCTGGTTATTTGGCTATACGTTTTCATAGAATACAGTACAGATAATTGAACAAACTTGGTTGCATTACATTCTTGATTAAATTATCTTTCCATCGATATATAATTTTAGGGTGCTACTCCAAAGAAAAGTGGTGCCATTAGCTATCAAACCTCAAAAATACACTTTTCCCAAAAGGTTTCCGCAATTTTGGCCACTGCTGTATCTTATCGGATTGAAACCTGAAATCCTCTGTTTCAGTGGATTTGTTGGAGAAAATGATGGCTGGTCAGATAGCCAAACCCCTGCAGCGTGACAGAAATCAGATTTCCACGCAAGTAATGGTGGAAAACTTTACCTCTTGAGGAATTCCACGTAAGTGTGATCTGCGTATTCCCCACAAATCTCATTTCCTTTTTCAATCAAAGCCTGCAGAGGTGCTATTGTGGAGTCCTAGAAGTCAGGAGAAAGTAACACGACGCGTTAGTGAAGAATATTGCCACATGATACGGTATTGCAGCAAAGTTGCTTGATCTGTGACAGGGGTCTTCAAACTTGGCCCTTTGATGACTTGTGGACTTCGACTCCCAGAATTCCTCAGCCAGGCACGCGTGCCTGGCTGAGGAATTCTGGGAGTCAAAGTCCACAAGTCATAAAAGGGCCAGGTTTGAAGACCCCTGATCTATGAGGTCTGGCCTGATGCCAGTGGTTAAAATAGAGATGTCTTCTGTAAAATTCTAAGGATGTCTGAAGTGGGACTAAAATATGTCCTGCTTCCCTGAAGGTAGCATCTCACAAGTGACATCATCTGTAGGACAAAGAGTGGCAGAACCTGGGGGTGGAGTTTATAGAGGGATCAGCCTAGAATCCCTACATAGCCACTCCGTCTGATTCAGGTTAAAGGGAACTTAATACAACTGGAAATAGATTGATGTTCGTCCACGATTGACAATAAACGCATCCAAAATCGTTATTTAGTCAAATTAACCTGGAAGTGTACACCTAGACCGGTAGGTACGGACTGAGAGATAGAGATAGAGATAGAGATAGAGATAGAGATAGAGATAGAGATAGAGATAGACTATCTCTATCTCTATCTCTATCTCTATCTCTATCTCTATCTCTATCTATTATTGGACTCCAACTACCAGCCCTGGATAACATCTTCGAATCTCGTTGTTTGAGGAAGTTGCATAACATTCTCAGAGACTCTTCCCATCCTGCTTACAATCTTTTGGGACTGTTGCCTTCTGGCAGAAGATATAGAATAATTAAAACTCGGACCACACGTTTTCTGAATAGTTTTTATCCCAGAGCTGTAATTGCACTCAACAACGAACTAAAGGGCCACCATCAGTGAACTGTTGGACAGCATTACTTGGTCTGTTGTGTGGATGTTGGGTGGTTTTAGGGGTGGGGATTGTGGGGGGGGAGTATGTTGGGGATTATGTGTGTGGGACTTGGTTTTTGGGTGTCAAGTAAATTTCGTTGTATATGTATACTATGTACGCACATACAATGACAATAAATAAATAAATACAAATCTCTATCTCTATCATCTCCATCTCTATCTCTATCATTTCTATCTATCTCTATCTCTATCTATCTCTATTGCAATCTATCATCTCTATTGCTGTCTCTATCATCTCTATCTCTATCTCCATCTCTATCTCTATCATCTCTATCTCTATCTATCGCTATCATCTTTATCTCTATTATCGCCAGTGCTTTTTTTCTAAAAAAAAAAAAAGGTGCCGGAACTCACACTTCATACAACCGCCTTGCCTACCCTACAAGGTTCCATCCAAAAAAGGTGCCGGAACTCCCTTCTGGGCATTCTATGAGAAAACAAAGCCCTGATTATCTCTATCTCTATCATGTCTCTCTATCCTCTCTATCTCTATCTCTATCTATCTCTATCTCTATCTCTATCATCTCTATCTCTATCTCTATCTCTATCTCTATCTATCATCTTTATCTCTATTATCTATCTCTATCTCTATCATCTCTATCATCTCTATCCTCTCTATCTCTATCTATCTCTATCTATCTCTATCTATCTATCTCTATCTCTATCTCTCTATCTCTATCATCTCTATCTCTATCTCTATCTCTATCTCTATCTCTATCTATCTCTATCTCTATCTCTATCTCTATCTATCTCTATCATCTCTATCTCTATCATCTCTATCTCTATTGCTATCATCTCTATTGCTATCTCTATCATCTCTATCACTATCTCTATCACCTCTCTCTCTTTCTATCATATCTCTCTCTCACACACACTGACATACTCACACACACACACACAAACACACATCTATCTCTACATCTATATCTGTAGGAGAAGCAGTGGCAGAACCTTGGGGGTGGAGTTAAAAGAGGAATCAGCCTAGAATCCCTACATAGCCACAAGCAAACTAAGTCCAATCTCCCTTGAATTCCTTTGACTTTTATCTAACACCAAGCAGGTGCTGACCCTTAGTTGAGGAGATTCCTGGACCTGATTTGGACCTTCACACATGGACCTGATCTTTTGTGCCTTGACATCATCTCAGAAGATTGTGAATTTTTACCCTTTCCGCGAAACAACTTCTGACGTCTAGTAGGTCACAGCAGTCAGTGGCGGCAGCTTGGCTGGCAGAATACAAAGTAATGATAAGAGCCTCGGGAGCACGGGTATATATCCGAGCCACGTCAAAAATATTTCTGCAAAAGAAAGAAAGGTAAGGTAGAAAGGTGGAACTTTGGCGTCCATTGCAACCTTGAACTCTACAACGTAATGACAGTAACATATATCATTTTAGAAGAGATGGGCGGGCCATTTGTCGGAAATGGTATAGGGCAGCGGTTCTCAACCTGTGGGTCGTGACCCTTTTGGGGGTCGAACAACCATTTCACAGGGGTCGCCTAACACCATCGGAAAACACATACCGTATTTTCCGGCGTATAAGACGACTTTCTAAACCCTGAAAATCTTCTCAAAAGTCGGGGGTTGTCTTATACGCCCAGTCGTCTTATACACCGGAAAATACGGGTATTCTATTTTATTCCTTTACACATCTGGTTTGGCATATTACTCATCAAGTTTTCTCTCCCCCCCTCTCTCGCTCAAACTCTATATTTTAACTGGAAAAGTTGGGGGTCGTCTTATACGCCCAGTCATCTTATACGCTGGAAAATACGGTATTTCCGATGGTCTTAGGAACCGAGACACCGCTCCACGTCCGTCTCCGCACAGCCTCCTCCGCCATTTGCAGAGAGAGAGAGACAGAGAGGCACTTTCGCTTCCCTTCTTTCTCTCTCTCAGGTGGACTTACCTCCTGCAGGGCTCTTGATTGGCCCTGCGCTTGGGTGCCCCACCCCCTGGGAGAAGCACAGCCAGGGCCTTGTGGCCTTGGAGCTGCCCGGGAAAGCCCCGGGATCCCTGCTGGGAGTGGCCCGCTGGAAGCTCCGCTGAGTGGGCCAGTCCTCCCGCAAGCCACGGCCCAAGGGAGACCAGCCCCTGTGACCAGCCCGACCATTGGACCTGCTGGCCAGGAAGGCGCGTCGGAATCCAGGCTGCCGGGAAGGAAGAAGGAGATTCAGCAAAGGTAGGAGAGGAGAGCTGCCTCCTGGGGCCCAGCGCTGGTGGCGGCTTCCTTGCCATCCTCTTCCTCCTCCCCTTCTTCCTCCTGCTGCCCCCAAGGCGGCTTGGGCGGGCGCCGAGAGGAAGAGGGGTGCCTGGAGGGCAGCAGCTGGGCTGGCGGAGGGGCAAGCGGGCCGCGCGGCACCAGCCCCCACCGCGGCTCCATCGGATGGGCGGAGTTCCGGCACCTTTTTTGGATGGAACCTTGTAGGGTAGGCAAGGCGGGTTGTATGACGTGTGTGAGTTCCGGCACCTTTTTTTTTTTTTTTTTTTTTTAGAAAAAAAGCACTGCATCTCTGGGTTCTAGAGAGAGTGACTTTCTTCCTCATATCCCTGTGAAATGGCTAAAAAGCACTGCAGGCAAATCCTGGCCCCTAGAGAAGGAGAAAAAACAGTTCCAAATCCACTTACCGATAAACGTCTATTTCACCACCTTCTCTGCAAACACCTTCATCAATTGAACTGGGAGACCGAGGGACTTCTGAACGTTTGGCCCACGGGAGCGAGTAAATGCACAAGTATTTTCCCACGTCATCTTTCGAAGTGCAACAGGTTCTGATCCTTTCATTCCCAGAACAGGCCGTGTTGCAGATGTGGGCGATGTGACGTTTGAGCTGGAAGACAGGAGAGCATTGCCCTTACGACGCAAGCAAGGCAGGCCGACTGGATTGATAAGAGCTGCATTGAACGGATCTTGGCTCCCTTGGAAAGGGCATCAACCTCTTCCTTTTGATTTTTTTTAAAATAAAAAATCGTATTGTCCTTGACTTACGACCACAAGAGAGCCCATAATTTCTATACAGGTGGACCTATATGTCTATGGCAGGGGTGGGCAACCTTAAACACTCAAAGAGCCACTTGGATCCGTTTCCCACAGAAAACACTGGGACCTGCAAAACACGAGCGCGCATCCGCGCGCGCCGGAGGGAAGGATTGATTAAAGAGTTTAATTAAAAAGAAATAGAGGGTGATGTGCATGAGTTCTCTCTCTCCCTCCCCCCTCTCTCTCCCTCTCTCCCTCTCTTTCTCCCTCTCCCTCCCCAGAGGGTCTCTGGCAGGTAGGGTGGTGGGCAGGAGGCTCGTCCTGCGGGGTGAGGCGAGGCAAGGCGAGGCAGGGCAGGGATGCCATTATCGCAGGGCAAGGCGAGGCAGGGGCCGGGGCGTCTGCTGCCTGACACCATTGGCCCCCGCACACAGAGGCCAGCGAGCACATGGGGGTCAACAGTGTCCGTCAGCAGCCACAGCCTGCCGGCCCCTTGACTGGCGCACTCTGGGGCTCCGCAGCCCGCCGCCAGCAGTTCAGAGAAGCTGCCTCTGAGCTGGCCGGCCGGCCGACAGCTGTGGAAGTGATGCAGTGGGTCGTGCCCGGGAAAAAGAGAGCATGCGAGACCAGGAGGGATGGGACGGGGATGGGGGAGGGAAACCAGCCGTGCTGGGATGCATCTGGCCACGTGGGACCTCGGCGAGTTAGCGGGCGGCTGGTTGAAGAGGGACGGTTGCCATCTCCAGGGCATAGCGCGTGTGCCTACAGAGAGGGTTCTGAGTGCCGCCTCTGGCACACGTGCCATAGGTTCGCCACCACTGACCTATAGCTTAGGGAAGAGGTCCCCAACCTTTTGGGCACCAGGGACCAGTTCCATGGGGAAAGGTTTTTCCGCGGACCGGAGAGTGTGGGATTTTGTGTGCTGCCTGCATCCCACGGATGGGGCTTTGCTTGTTTGTGCGGACCGGTTGCTGGCATGCTGTGGCCTGGTACTGGTCCACAGATCGGGAGTTATGGACCCCTGGCTTAGGGCATAGCAAGTGAACTGTCCAGGATGACGAGCGCTTGATCATTGTAAGTTAGAAGATCTGACATTATAATATCTTCAGATAAGGATAGAGAATTCTTCTGCCCCCCTATAATTATTTCTCCTCTTCATCGCGGCACTGCTGGAAGTCCAGTCCAGCAAGAGCTGCATCTTCTACTCCTACAAATTGTAGAAAATAAAGATCTAAGGTGGGCAGTCTGCCTTTCCGGATCGCTCACCTCATTCTGGATACAGTTTTCTTCCAAACTAGCGCAGCACTTGGAAAGAATTTTGGATGCTTCTCCAGCCAGGGTCATGGCGTTCTCAAAGGGCAGGCTCGGAGTCTGCTGGGTGAATTTAATTAAGTAGCTGGAGCATTAGGGAGAGAAGAAAAATAAATAAATTAGAATTTAGCTAACAAAGCGTTGAATTAGCCAATCAAAAATATCCAGCTTTCTGAAGCATTTTTGATGCTGTGTCCAACCTTGGCAACTTTAAGACCTGTGGATTTCAACTCCCAGAATTCTGGGAGTTGAGGTCCACAGGTTTTAAAGTTGCCAGGGTTGAGAAAACCTGAGATATAGCCTGAATAAAATTAGTAGAAATAAAGAGAGAATAAAGCAACATCTAGGGATGCTAAAATGGTTACCCTTGAGAAACAGGTAGAAAAAGCATAAAATTCACTGCCATCCATATTAGAGGAATGTAGTTTGTCGAGATTAAATTCTCCAGGGAATGAGATAGACAAGAATAAATAAAGCAGTTTCTAGACCTCACTAGCAGCTATGCAGGAAATTGATAAAGCCCCAGTGGGTATTTCTGGATCTTGTGAGCTCATATCTCCCTCAGGCTTCTTAAATCCTCATCAGTAACTACAACCTGTGAGACCAAATGGAAAGTTTTGGTTGTCTTTTCAACCTTCAGCATGGCTGGCTGGGGAATTCTGGGAGTTGAAGTCCATAGGTCTTAAAGTTGCCAAGACTGGACACCCCTGCTGTCCAACGTAGAGGTAGCCATTTGTAATTCTGATCACTGTTGTTATTTATTCAATATAGCATTTAGGTTGCTGGGCAACGAATTAAAGGCCAAGACTGAGAGAAGAAAAGCAAGGAATTCGTGAATTCTAGCCGACTTTTGGGCAGAGCTGAGATTTGGAAAGCATGTGGTAGGCACCCCAGCAAAATTTAACCCACTAAAATGCAATTTCCCTTCCCCAGAATGATTGCTCCAATCGATCTGGCCCCTAACCCAATACTCATTCACCCGTGTGATTGGATCCCCACAATCCCCTTTGTAGGATTCCTTGCTAGCTCAATTCCACCTTGTTTTTTGGGGCATATAATCACATTTCAAATCAAAAATTTAAACTGCGGGTCTGGAGAAAGCCATTCAATTTTTTTTTTTAAAAAAATAACCAGTGGAAGGGGTTGCCTTCAGAAGTTGTGGGTGCACCAACATTGGAAGTTTTTAAGAAGAGATGATGATGATGATGATGATGATGATGATGATGATGATGATGATGATAATAATAATAATAATAATAATAATAATAATAATAATAATAATAATAAAAAAGTTGGAAGGGACTTTGGAGGTCATCTAGTCCAACCCCCTGCTCAAGCAGGAAACCCTATACCATTTCAGACAAATGGATTCCAGTGTTGGAGCATTCACCACTTCTGGAGGCAGGTGGTTCCACTGGTTAATTGTTCTAACTGTCAGGAAATTTCTCCTTAGTTCTAGGTTGCTTCTCTCCTTGCTCAGTTTCCATCCGTTGCTTCTTGTCCTGCCTTCAGGCACTTCGGAGAATAGCTTGACTCCCTCTTCTTTGTGGCAGCCCCTGAGATATTGGAACACTGCTGTCATGTCCTCCCTCGTCCTTTTCTTCATTAAACTAGACACACCCAATTCCAGCCACTGTTCTTTATATGTTTTAGCCTCCAGTCCCCTATTCATCTTAGTTGTTTTTCTCTGCACTCTTTCTAGAGTCTCAACATCTTTTTTACATCGCGGTGACGAAAACTGGATGCAGTATTCCAAGTGTGGCCTTACCAAGGCATTGTAAAGTCGTATTAATACTTCACCTGATCTGGATTCTATCCCTCTGTTAATGCAGCCCTGCACTGTGTTGGCCTTTTTGGTAGCTGCAGCACACTGCTGGCTCCTATTTAAGGGATTGTCCCCTGGGACTCCCAGATCCCTCTCACAGTTACTACTATTGAGTTATACTATACCTGTACATTTGGTTTTTCTTGCCTAAATGTAGAACCTTACTTTTTTCACTATTGAATTTCATTTTGTTAGATAGCGTGCGAGACAAAAGGATTTCCACCCTTACCTGACTTTCGTTTTATTTTCCCCAAGCAAAGCATGGAGAGCACACGCTTTGTTTGATAGATGGGCAAATGCCTGGACACGTTTGTGTTGTAACCTCTGCGAAAGAAAAGGAATTGAAAACGGTCAGATGGAGACCACACTTATACTTTATATGGGCAATCGCTTCCCAAACAAATCAATAGAGCCTCAGCTAATTGGGTGGGGCAACAATGCATTTTTATTCAACTTAACAGACAGGATTTTTTTATCTGGGATTCCTGATTCAAGGCACAGAGCTGCGGGACCCTTTAGGAGGTCTGGGATACTTTCTTAAAACATTGTCTATAACTTGGAAACAACACATTCACTGGATAGAATAAAAAACTGCCTTTTTTATGACCCTGTAATCCTTTAATTTGGGATAGAGTTGGGGTAACTGGATGGAGTTGAGCATTTACTGGCTGGATGCCCTTCCTGATGCCACATGGAGTTTGCAGCAGATTTGTTTTTCTTTGTGCCCAGAGAGAGAGAAAAACATCTACTGCTATCTAGGATTGAACTCTCAACCTTCCAAATGGGAGGCGAGCATCTTAGAATATGCTGCTAAAATGTATCGATTCTCTCTCTCTCTCTCTCTCTCTCTCTCTCTCTCTCTCTCTCTCTCTCTCTCTCTCTCTCTCTCTCTCTCATCAATCAGTCTGTCTGTCTATCTATCTATCTATCTATCTATCTATCATCAATCAATCTGTTCATCTATCTATCATCAATCAGTCTCTGTCTATCAATCTCTCTCTCTCTCTCTCTCTCT